GGTGATAGGGAAAGGGGGGCCACTCCCGAGAGAGGGTTGCTGAGGTGAACCTAGTGAGGACAACTTGATCCTTGCGCGCACAAAAAGCGGAGACGTGCGGCGGTCCGAGGGTCCCGATTCGACGCGGCTGCGTTTCCACGAGCAAAAAGACTCTAATCGACAAAACAAACCAGTCCGCGAGTCGCTCGACTCTCTCGTCATCTCGAACTCGGCTGGGCGACTCATCCTTTACGTTCTCCCGCGTTCGGACCTTCGATTCGCATTTAATTCCTCATTACTTTCCACTCATGCTCCGATGTCGTCTCCTCTGGACCTGGAAGCATTTTTAGTAAATTTTCATATGATTCGTACACAAGATAAATCTATCCCCCTGAGCAATCTTCTAAGGTCCAGGCACTCCTGCACTGGTGCAAGCGAGGGAGAAGAGGGTGGGTTTTCGAAAGAGCAAAGAAATGCTTGAAAGGAGCGCGTAGCGTGTTTTGACTGGGTGCGATGGGTGCGACGGGTGCGACGGGTGCGTTGGGTATACTGCGTGCTGTGGCTACAGGGAGTATAGCAAAGGAGCAAGGCTAGGGAAGGAGTCACGAAGTGAGTCGTCAAGTATGCTGCGTGGTGAACAGTGCTGAGTCGGCCGCGAGGTAAGAAATCAGAAATTTCCTCCGGCAGGATTGCCGAGGCTATATCTCTCTCTCCCAACAGGTTACAGCGCAGCCCCCACCGCGCCCGCAATTCCTCAGGAGATTCTCTCCTGGGTGCCCCTGCGTGCCTCTGCGTGCCTCTCAGTCTCGCATATACACACATTCGTCGGGCGTCGCGTCGCTGCACGCTCCTATCTCGAGAGGCGCTCGAGACGCTCGAGGCACATGGCCACGTTACTCGCCCCCACCGCCGCGTCTATCCAAACGCAGCATCCCACTCCGGAGCAAGACTGGAGCCTGGAAGGGACTGTGTATCAGGTGGATGTGGTTGCTCGGATGACCCTACCGCGCGGAGCTGCTAGGAGTGGAGGGGAGGACGATGACCACGCCCACGGTCATCGGGCTAGGGTGGTGGGGGGTGGTTCGCTCCTCGAGAAGAGCAGGAGGGGAAGGGCGCTGCTCCTCTTGGGAGTGGGGCCGATGACGGGGTGGGGTAATAGAGTATGGGACTTCGGAGAGCGAGTAGGGGCGGCCGTGAAATTAAAACACGATGAGGGCCTAGATTGAGACGCGAGAGAGCGCTCGCTCTCAGGGACGCAGCTATATTATTTCTCTCCTTCTCTCCTTTTTCCTCTCCCGACTCCCATCTTTTCGGTATTTGCCTCGTTAGGATGCTGCTTTCTTCTCTCTCTCTCTCTCTCTCTCTCTCTCTCTCTCTCTCTTCGTTACACTGCGAATCTATACACCCTGATTCGGATGCTGAGCGAAATAAGTGTTGCCAACTTGAGCGATCAACAGAAACTTGCGACGCATTCGGAGGAACGGTCCGTGGAGCAGGGACCAGAGAGACAGGGAGGCTGGATGGGATCTGGATAGGTCAACCTTTTCCGGGAACCTGAGTTGGCACGTTTTTACGCTAAACGCGCCGTGGGGGTCGTCGGGTCCTCGGACGCTTTTTGCGCGGACTTACATAGAAATTCATAGTCCGTCCTGTGCGATGACGAATTTTTCTAAACGGCCCCCCGCGGCTTAGGGACACTCGGTCTCCTCTTCTTCTTCCTTTGGAGTCTGCGACTCTCACTCGTGACGTATCTCCTGGTATGTTCTGGTGCACTGGCTGACGTCACGCAAGACTCCGTCAGGATAGCACTGATCCCTGCGGGATTGGAGACCCGACTGCAGGAGAATTGAATTTCTCCAATGGACCCAGCGCATCCGACAGTCTTCTAGGAAAAAGGAGGAATGCATGGCACACGTGAGCCACTCGACAGGCAGGACGTTTTTGTAGGTTCTTCTTATCACGTTGATTAGATACTTCATATTTCGTCAGGATGGATATCAAATTTACAGAGAAAAGATGAACTGAGCCACAGCGATCTTCCAAGGGTTATGTATTTGGCTCGTGTATTTGGTGCAGAGGGGTAGAATGGGTAGGAAAGGCACCCCACGCAAAGAATCGAAAACTCCCTAGAATTCTGATGACGGGAGGAAAAAAAGGGAAAAAGGTAAAGGGGGCCCAGTTGGGACAAATGGTGGCGCAGGGGCGAAAGGGGGTGAAAGGGGGCGAAAGGGGCCACCGTCGCTCTGGTATCCCTTCGCGTTCGCCACAATGTGAACGCACCGACCAGCTCCTAGCAGCCTCGACTGTGAATAAGTCCACCTTTACGGATCGCATAGCACGGGATAAATTGCCCAGAAATCTCAAAGGTCGGCGCGCTTTGTGGGATTAGCCGCCACGACCGGCTACCACTTACAAATCACTAGATATATACCAGTTACCATTTCACAAGTATACCAGTCGCTGTGTGATGGTCTACAAGTTTCGTGTAACCGAGCGCTTACCAGTTGCCACCTATAGCCGTGTTATAGTATAGCTCCATACTATGCTCCATGCATCCATGCATCTCTATGGTCCATGATGCTGGGATCAGGCTCCTGATATATTCTCGTAGTGCACTGTACCGAGCACTACCTACCATTCAAATGCTCGTGGGTGAGATTGGGACTCGAAGGAACATTTTTTGAATTACGGGGCCTTGTTTGGGTCTGGTCCTAAGAAGCAGGTATCGTTGCGATGTCGATCGATACTGAGTCTATTACGCAAGAAAATCATGAATCTGCCTTTTTTACGGTAATAACGGAAACGTACAACAGAGACGTTGAGAACTCAATTCCACGGCTCGTGTAACGGATGGTAACGCTCATGAAAAGTTAGGACTGACGAGTGCATGTATATATATATATATATATACAGGTAGGCTAAACGGTTGAAAACCATAAATGCCAACATCCTTCGTCTTCGAATTTTCTGTGAAATCCTTTTCACGCGTTTCGGTTACGCGAATTCCAAGAGGACTCAATGCGGTAAGGAGTCAGGCGAGATGAGAGGTTGGGCCCACGCAAGGTCCCCGCTTTACGGGGGTGCTGGGCCCAATACGCATGAAGCTACACAAGCCGCACACAAGACCGTAGATCACGAGCCATTTCCCTTTTTCTCTTCTTCTTCCTCGTCCTTCTCTGGCACCTTCGTCCGCCTACCCTCTTTCTCTCCTCTTTTGAGGAAGCACAAAGCTGCCCCCTTTATGCGGCGATCCGGTCGCGCCGCGACTTGACAATGGCCGAGGCCCGAAGTCGGCCATTGTGAATGCAGGTGATTTCGAAGGCAGGAGACCTTCCTTCCCGGGCCTGAAGGAGATGTCTTCATTAGGGCCTCGAGCAGGCGCGGGCATCCGCCATCCAGCTCCCAACTGCCATAGAAAACTGAGCTATAACGAGCTGACTACACTCACTGAGGTTTGCCCTCTGACCTTTACTCCCTCACACTCCTGATCTGGCACCTCGACCTCTAGTTACGTCCTCCCTGTCACATAAACTTGTAAAATATGGCTGAATATATATTGCGCTTGTCCACTACCATCAAATTAGCCAGCTAACGAGGCAAAATAACTCTGATGATCCAACAACCCTAATTAATAAAATTGCCATCCCTTCCGCCGGATGTAGACACAGTCGGTTCTCGAAGGAAATGTTTTTCATTGTTCACCGAAAATTCGAAAATCATACAATTTTCCAGTCAAATCACATGGCCTCTATACGTTTGGACCGTTTGTGTCTACGGAACGTTAGCAGCCTCTGTGGTGTCTCTTGGGTAGATGGGAAGAGGTTCAGTTTCGAGAAGAGCAAAGGTTCTCCCTGGCGAATCGTCGAATAAAAGGTGAAAGGCGGTGAGTGACACAAAGGGAGGACATTAGTCGATCCGATCCCGTAATTTGCCAGGATTTACCTGGGTACCGTTGCTTCCACTTGTCCCATAGTGCTCCAGCGGAGAGAATCAGGATTCTTCAGCCAAGTGACAGCTTCCTTGGCGCACTTT